CCCCCCCCCCCCCCGAGTGCACAAATTTTTGTGCACCGGGCCTCTAGTATATATATATATTTAAATCCTCACCCAAGAAGAGAGAGAGAGAGAGAGAGAGAGAGAGAAACACATCAATGTGAGAGAGAACATCAATTGGTTGGTTGCCTTCCATACTGGCCCTACCAAGGGTGGAACCCATAACCTAGGTATGTGCCCTGATTGGGAATCAAACCAGCAACCTTTTGGTGAACAGGACAACACTCAACCAATTGAGTCACTCCAGCCAGGCAATAAATATCATTTTTAAGTATGTGCTAGTCACCTTGTTAGATGTGTCACCAGGCAGGGACTGGGATGAGGCAGCTCTTCCCCAGCACAGTCTGGAATGTGTAGGTTCTTGACTTCATGCAGGAAAGATTTCAAGACATGAGTCAAGGTGATTTCGAGAATACACTTACTAAAGCTAGGGGCAGTGAAACAAAGGAAGGGCTTAGGACAGAAGAGGCAAGATCACAGCAATAGGAGTAAGCCTAGGTGGAGTTGTCTTGGCTCTTTTTTTTTTAATCCTCACCCGTGGTTATGCTTACTAGTATTGATGAGAGAGAGTGAGAGAGAGAGAGAAGAGAGAGAAACATTGATGTGAGAGAGAACACTGATTGTCTGCTCTCCATACATGCCCTGATGGGAGATCAAACCAGCAACCCAGTAATGTGCCCCAACCAGGAATCAAAAACCCCAAAACCTTTTGATATATTGGATGATGCTCCAACCAATGAAGCCACACTGACCAGGGCCTGCCTTAGCTCTCTCAGAATGAAAGTCATAGAAAAAGAAGTGAGCCATGCTGGGCCGCATGGACTCAGGAAACAAGTTACAGAGGCAAAAGGAGGGCCCTTGGAGACAGGTTCAGGGGGTTAGCCCAGGATGAAGTGCCGCTGCCCGATGCTCCCTGGTTGCAAGTCTCCTGGGAACCCTTAGAGCTTAAGAGAAAGAAAGCAAAGAAGGAGGGGGACATGCATGCTCAAGGGAGAGCATCCTTTGTCTTAAGGTTTTTTATCTGTATTCTAAAGGCAGGAATTTTAGGGGAGGTATCAGGGTAAAGTTTCAACAGAATATTCATCAGCTTTCCACGTGTGTCCTTTAATAGGCTGATGAATCAAAATGAGCATATGGGGGAGGGGGAGGGTTGGATAATTTTCTGGTCAGCTTTATTTTTATCTTGGATTTGTCTGGTTCTAACTGGTTTTTGTGTTATTTGTTCCCCTGACTTCATCCATTCTGGGGTTTGGCTGGCACTAGTGGCACCATTTGGGTCTCTGTTATCTGTCTCCCTTACTAGGGTGATTTAAGCTACTCACTTTCTGGCTGGAGAGGAGAGATGTAAAGCATTTGCTCCTAAATGTCCTTGGTTAGGGAAGATAAAATCTTGTAATTTATTAGCTGTCTGTTAATTGCTCAACCATTTGTTTAAATATCTGTCTCAATTTCCTCATTCCTCCTGCCAAGGAATATTCTAGCTTCTTACTAACCTGCCACAGATGTTTTGAATAAATCATCTTTTATTTCAGAAAAGTTGCCTGGAAAATATAGACTCATAAAAAGAGAATGTAGATAGGCCCTTTTGATTTCTTTCAACCCCATCAATTTAGGTCAGCTTACTAAACTTTAAATTATTGAGCCTTCCACTTATTGTCCTGAACCAGGGTAATGGAGACTCAATGAACCGGGACATAGAGAGCCAAATATAAGAAAGATCTTGTCCCCATCTTTAACGTTTTTACTGTTGTGCAGAGAGACAGACTTATAGTCCTAGGACACAGCAATCAAACTACCTACAAGATATTTTGCTGCAGAAATAGGGAGGTTTAATTCTAAATGACAAAAGAGCAGTGGAGCTGGGTCCTGACTTCAGAATAGGAATTTGATAGGTTATCAAATGCTAGGAAAGCATTCTTGGGAATGGGTTTAAAAGACATGGAAATGTATGAACAGCATAAGCACCATCTAC